CCTGATATAATCTGGCAATTGTTTGACTTTAGTATAAAGTTACACTGGTTGTATAGTTAACGTAATGAAGTAATACAGTTGAAGATGGCCCATCATTCAAGTCAAAATGTCAGTATTTCTCCAACCTTAATCACTAATAAATGTGTTGATTATTTTATTTTTAAAGTATTATATTTATTATAATAAACAGCATAGTTACAAGATGAAAAAGTTTTAGAGAATTCACTCTAATAAGTGCACTGTGATTTTAAACTGAAAAATTAGTCTGTTTAGGATTGAACACTGTTCACTACCTCATGATTGCACAGTCACATTTGAATAACATATAGTGTTGAATAACTTGCTCAACTGTTTCATTATGAAATAAAGAATTCAATTTTATGTTTCATGTTCATCTTTTCATTTTATATGGAGATATTTCCTATAATGTGTTTAGTCCCAATGAATTATCATGTAGTAAATGCACTCTAATAAACAACATAGTTTCAAACTGGAAAAGTTATAGATAGCATGATGTTTATTATTAATATAGTATTTAAAAATTTAAATAACTAGTTCTGTTGTAAAATGCCATGTGTTTTTTAAATATTTGTCCATATTATATATATCAATGTGAAAATGCATGAAACTTGACACCATATTGTAAATCATAAGAATCAAACTGCTATGTACAGGAAATTTTGAAATTTTAAATTTACATTTATTGTAAGCTGAAAATGACCATAAACAAACTGAAAATTGCATTTTCAATTTTCTGAAAATGTTTCTAAGTTAAGAATAATTTTGATTTCCTGATCATAGCAGTTTGGTCCTTATAATTCTAATAAATTGATTTAAGATAAACATTCTTACTTGCATGGTATTGTAGGATGATGATATTCACAATTATCTCCTCGTTTACATGCAGGCCAGTAATCAATATTCTAATAAATTGATTTAATGTAAACATTCTTACTTGCATGGTATTGTAGGATGATGATATTCACAATTATCTCCTCGTTTACATGCAGGCCAGTAACGACATCTTTCCTGAATTTTCTCATCCATGCTTTCATCCATCATCTCTTCTTCAATAATTTCTTCTGCTAATACAGTAAAATATAGAAAGTTGAAATTATAAAAGAAAAAGAACAAATTTTTAAATATATTTTATTTACCTTCATCTGTTTGACAGATCTCTTTTGTACTTAGTTCTTCTAATTCATCTAATTCAAATTTACTAACATCAGGTGACAAAGGCACCTTATTTGTTACAACATTCCGTCTTTGTTTTTTCCTTAGAAATTTGCTTGGATCTACGCCATCCAGCGTGACAACAAAATGTGGAGCATTTTCAGTATTTTCAAGTATTCTAAAAAAAAATTTAAAACAAGAATTATATAAATATATCAATTGATATAATTATAAAATTATTTTATATGAATTTACTCAATGTCTTCTAGTTTTCTTTTCCTGTCACTTCTTGCTTTTGATTTTACATCAACTGATGCAATTTTAGTTTTTTTCGTAAACAGCTCCGATTCATTTTCTTTTTCTATATCTACATCATCATCCTCGTCATCGTCGTCATTTTCTAATTTCTGATTTTTAAGCTGATGTTTATCTGTACAGGATACTACAGTACGTGTGTCTTGGTCTTGTGGATCATTAGCATCTAAATCAAAATCTGATACTATATTGTATCAGAAATAGATGTTAGTTATTTTATCAATATTTGAGCTATCAATATTAATATAGTTCAATGTATTTTATCAGTATTAAAGTTGTTATAAATCAGATACAAAGAAGAATCAATGAAAACATTAAATTTTGTTTTTCATAATGTATTGAAGCAATACATACATACATAAATAAATACATACATACACATATATTTTAATTACATGCATTCTTTCTCCATGTGGCTCACATGGAGAAAGAGTAAATAAATTAGAATACTTTAAATTTTTCAAAAAATAATAATCTAGTAGAAATGTATAGATGATTTATTTATTATATGAGAGATGCTATATGGGGCAGNATTCTATTATGGTTATTTATACATTTACAACTACAAAATGCATTTTTCAATGGTTTCCTTACTACAGTTATTTTTTTTAATGTACAACTTAGCTTTAATTTGAGTGTGTTTTTAGTGTTGGAACGAATTATTTGGTTTTACATGTAATTGTATGGGAAAAAATGATTCACCTTACGACATTTTCATGATACAATCTCACTTTCGGAACGGATTAATTTCGTATCCTGAGGTACCACTGTACATGCTTTGGTGCTTTGTGGTTATTTTGAACAACTGCTAAGACAATGGTAAGTCAAAGTTTGTTACAAAATTTCATATATTTATTCTTCCTAAAAATACTGTAGTAATTTCCTGCTCATTCTAACAATTTTGCAGGTTAAATAGTCTGGATCTACTTTCAAACTGAATTAAGAAATACCCACAACTTTATGCAGAAAATTACAGATTACAGAAAGACTTGCCAAAATATAAGAAAATACCAACAAACTTCACACACTTTCTCACCTATCAACTTCTGGAAACATGCTCATAAAAATGTGCTATACTGCAGTGAACTTCAACAATTATCATGTCCTTAAATTTATTAAATCTCTTAGTTTAAAAACTGTTTGGTTGGCAAACATTTTTCAAAGATCTAAACAAATGGATTTGGTACTGAACAACAGCGGCGACCTTATCTATTGCGAGGTTCTGGGCAGCAGATTTTTGCGAGGCCTTTGTGCAAAGTATGTGAATTGAAATAGTAGGCACTTATTAATATTAATATATACTGTACTATAAATTAAATTTATTTTATTGTTATAACTAATAGCCAAGGATAAAATAAAAAGTTTTAAATATCAACTTTTTTCTACTTGGTTGTTGCGCGAGGCCCCTCCAAGAGCGAGGCCCCGGGCGATTGCCCTGCTCGCCACCCCCTAAGGCCGCCACTGNAATAAAAACTGTTTTACAATATTAAATTAACTCCAAGCCATAACATCAAATTTTTATGAAAGGATCTGATAAATTTAGTTCAAACCAATTTGTCACAAACCAGCTATTTCTGTTGAGAATATGACCAAACACTGTCAACATTAAGATGATCATTTTATTTATTTTTTTATATCCATTGTGACAATGGATATAAAAAAAATAAATAAAATGATTAAACTCTCTTAACCTGTCAGCATTAAAGATAAAGTAGCAGCATAACTACATAAAGAACATATTAGTACATCCAGCACAAACTTTTATAAAAATTAAAATCAACTTGATTCTAACTTAAGAAAAAAATTACAAAAATATAGTTTTAATCTGTAATTTGTTTTTTGTAGAAAAATATTCAATAAACAAAAATAAATCATGTTATGTCTATTCATCTTTCTTGAAATGTAAAATGTTGCTTTGTTACTAAAAACCAAATTTGAAAGAAACTGTGTAAATCTACTTGAGCTAATGGAAGACAACAAAGATGTTTGCAAAACTGACTCCTTGCAAAACTGAACACACAATTTTGCAAGGAGTCTTTAAAAATGAGCTGCTGAGCAGAACTGAACAGACACACTCCACCACTTCTCCTATGGATCCAGTTGATTTTCACTTACAAATGTAGTCCATAACTTGAAACTGAATACCACTTCCAAAATGACTTAAAATTTGGGACAAACCCACAAAACAATATCTGAATATGGTGTTGACTCAACATACTTGTTTACATGAAAATCAAGAACATAGAATGTCTTCTGCTGAAAGAATTCTAGTTCTTGATTTTCCTTATCTCATCACCATTTTACTCGCTGAGCTGAGCTGCCTCATGATGAATAAGGACATCTGATACTGCCAATGCCAAGTACTTTTTGTACTTGATACTTTTGGTCTGATACTGATACCAAAAGTGTCTTTACTTTGGGTATTGGATCTGGTATCGTTACATTTTTCACAAACAGGTAGGGTTCGATGAAACCAGATTTTGCAGCTGAATCAGAAACCAAAATGGAATTTTACACTATTTTTGGTTAAGTTAAACTTATATAAAAATACATAGATGGTAGAAAGACATTTCAGTCTTTCTAAAATGTGTAAATCCATTAGCCAATTTTTTACACTGGCATGCAAAACTTAGCAACAATGTAATTTTTAAGCAGACAGCCATGAAACTGCAGAAAAGGGCTTTTTGCAATATCCAATTCAGTAGAAAGGTGTTATTAAAAACATTTGCTGCAAGTTCAGGTGAGTTCGTATGTGCAACATGGCTAGAAGAAACCCTCTGGATGACTTTACACATTGTAGTGATTGGCAAGCTTGAGGGGGTTGTAGTGTGATAAGTGTGTCCCAAGAGTTTTAAAATTAACAAAAGTGTCATTTCACAAGCTTGCAAAGCTTTCCAAACCACAGGTACAGCTGTAAGAAAAGTTAGTGGTGGTCGTCGAGAAAAACAATGCCAATGGATGATTGATATATTGTCCTGCAGGCAAAAAAGAGATCAATACCAGTCAGCAAGTAACATTGCTCAGCAGCTGTGTACAGCAACAGGACAAAAAGTATTGGTTTAATGTGGCCAGATGCCTTCATAAAGGTGGCCTATTTCCCTGATGTCCTGAACACTGCATCTCATTGACAGCTGCCCATCAGCAGCACCGTTTATACTGGTATAAGAACACAAACTGGACATCTCATCAATGGAGTAACGTCTTCTTTACAGATGAGAGTCGTTTCAGTATTAAAAGTGTTTCTCAACACTAGTTGATATGAAGAGGATTAGGGACACAGTTTTATCATGAAAAAAGACTTACAGTGGTCCTGGGGTGCTTGTTTGGTGAGACATTATGATGAATGGACAGACTGATCTCCAAATTTTTGACATAAGTACTGTTACCAGAGATCACTATTTTCAGCAAGTGATCCTTTCTCACATGCATCTGTTCTGAGGTGCCATTGGTGCAGACTTTGTTTTTATGGATGATAACTCCAGGCTACATTGGACTCGTGCTGTTGAGAAGCTTCTAGAAAGAGAAGAAATCACTAGAATGGATTGGCCAACATACTCCCGATTTAAATCCCATAGAACATGTGTTGGATGCTTTGGGGAGACACCTTTCAGCATGATTATATTTGCTGAAGAACACCCAACAACTGAAACAGATGCTCATTGAGGAATGGGCACTCTTATCTCAACAACTGTTTGATAATCTGATGTTGAGTATGGAGAGACGAGTGCCAAGCAACCATTGCAGTTAAGGGGGGTCGTATCCCGTACTATGAGATATCTGTTTGTTCTCCTCCTTCTTGGGCAAGCAATCATTTATACCAATGCTACTCTTTCAATAAAGCCTTTTTTTTGTTTGATTCCATACTGTGTGTGTTCTATTCATTTTTGTGCTAGTATGCTTTCTTCATCCTTTAAGTACAAAATACTGTCTCTGTATTCTGAATTTCATGTCTCCCAGGTGATTTCTTGCACAGTTATGACAAAAAAAAAAAACAATTGTTTTATACACTGGTGTGCAAAATTTAAGCATTTTAATGACCAAAACTCAATACATATATTACATCAAATTTCATTTCCAGAATCTATATATGGTTAGAGTTCTGTTTACTATTTATAAACAGAAAATTTTGAAAATTTGAAAATTTTTTTAACAAAAAGCTAAATTTAAAAGTTACTTTTTTTGGGTCAAAATCAAGAGTCAATTTTCAATTTTTAACTAAATATTTATAAACAAATATTTAGTTAAAAATTATGCAGTACTTTTGTTTGCTAATCAACTTGGTCCACTATTGTTGTTTAAAATGAGCTACAATTTGTATGTACTTGTTTGCACTGACATTTATAAAATTTGAACACAATAAATAACTTCCAATGTGAAGACACTGTTTTACCTCTTCACCAATAATTTCTTATCCACCCTATTCTGTGTATAGTAGTAACCACAGCCCATTAGCAGGACTGTAGACCTGGGACTTCTTGTGTGTACATGAAACATCTTACAAGTGTAAATTAAAGTACTGACTGACACACTGACTTCTGACTAGATAGCTGGGATTCAATTCCTTGGAGTAAGCAAAAAAATATTAATTGCTATCTGGAGCTTACTTGGCCTTCATTGTAATGAGTACAGTACACTTTTATGCAGTCCATTTTTATGTGATTTTGAAATAATGCAGTGGACAAAAGAAAACTACTCTTCTTTTTATGCAATTGATTCTTTTTTACATAGGGAAAAACAGTTCATTTGAAAATTTTTTTAACAAAAAGCTAAATTTAAAAGTTACTTTTTTTGGGTCAAAATCAAGAGTCAATTTTCTTTTTTAAGCAGAGTATAGAAAATACTGTGTGTCACTTTTATGTTTCCTATACCACTTTGTGTCTACTATATTTATGCACAAATAATGTTAGAATAAAATAGCTCATGTTTATTTTGTAAATTGCTTATTTTTTTCATTCCATTGAAGTTGTATATCCCATCAAGCATTTTTCTATAGGATGCATGTACAGTACTGTACATTTTTATATGAATTTTTTTACATGGCATTCTTTGGAACGTATCCACCATGCAAAAAGAGGGATAGATGTACTGTACCTTCTCAGCAGTAAAAACAACTGGAAGGCAATGCAACAGCTGGCAAGATTTCCAGTTTCAATACCCAATGCCAATACTGGCCAGTGTCAATACTTTAAGACAGATACCAATACCGATACCAGATTTTATGGTGATTTTGTAAGCTCATCTTTAATAAAAGAGCTTTGCAGACCAATTTTTATGCTAATTTTCAATCTTGCATTGATTATGGATTGCCCATATGGTCAATAGCTGCACTTTCTCTTTTACACAAAATTACTTTTGCTATTAATAAGATATACCTAACATTTAACAAAATGTGTAAACTGCCTTTCACTATTGACTCTAATAGCACTAGAATTTACCTGGGCTTCCCATCTTTCTTTGGGAGAATTAAATATTTTGACTGGCTAATATATTGCAAATATTTCAGTGGTCTTATTTATCAAGATTGGCTTTCACTCCAAATTCTATCAAGAAAACTTTGCTCATTTACTTACATTTTCTCCTTTTTTACATCTAAATATATCACAACAATTTTTCTTTTACTGTATATTGCAAAACCTTAATAATTTTGATGAATTTTTTATATCTTGACCTTCCTGATTTTAAAAATGAAATGTAAAAAGCACTATATCTCTTTTAAGATTTGTTATTTGTTTTTTTTTATGTTTTAAGGGTTGTTATTTGTTTTTATGATATATGTTTTTGTAGGGGTTAGAAATCAAATGCCTAACCTGACTTTTCCTGTAAATTTAATGAAATAAATAAATAAATGATTTATTGATACTTTAAAACTACTCATTATACTGGTATCAATACTTTTGTTGTATTGGGACATCCCTAATAATGAATGCTACTGGAACCAGTAATAAGAAATTTGAATTTTAAGAGACTGCTAGAGTTATGCTAAACCAATATTCTGATATGAACATCAAGCTTGATAGCAAGATTCTTTTGATATCAATATGGAATACAAAAGTATTGAATATTAATATCCTAGATAAATACTGAATGTTGATATCAACATTTATATCAAATCAAAATCAAATTATCAGCATATCATTAGAGACTGTGTTCAATATAAACAAACATTTTTAAAAATTTGTACGTAAAACTTTTATGTTTCATCGAATTCTTAAAGTTTATTTATATACAAAAATTTTTTTTTAATTATAGGTTAGGTATTGGATGTAATTTTACTATATAATTATTAATAATCAATATTCTAATAAATTGATTTAATGTAAACATTCTTACTTGCATGGTATTGTAGGATGATGATATTCACAATTATCTCCTCGTTTACATGCAGGCCAGTAACGACATCTTTCCTGAATTTTCTCATCCATGCTTTCATCCATCATCTCTTCTTCAATAATTTCTTCTGCTAATACAGTAAAATATAGAAAGTTGAAATTATAAAAGAAAAAGAACAAATTTTTAAATATATTTTATTTACCTTCATCTGTTTGACAGATCTCTTTTGTACTTAGTTCTTCTAATTCATCTAATTCAAATTTACTAACATCAGGTGACAAAGGCACCTTATTTGTTACAACATTCCGTCTTTGTTTTTTCCTTAGAAATTTGCTTGGATCTACGCCATCCAGCGTGACAACAAAATGTGGAGCATTTTCAGTATTTTCAAGTATTCTAAAAAAAAATTTAAAACAAGAATTATATAAATATATCAATTGATATAATTATAAAATTATTTTATATGAATTTACTCAATGTCTTCTAGTTTTCTTTTCCTGTCACTTCTTGCTTTTGATTTTACATCAACTGATGCAATTTTAGTTTTTTTCGTAAACAGCTCCGATTCATTTTCTTTTTCTATATCTACATCATCATCCTCGTCATCGTCGTCATTTTCTAATTTCTGATTTTTAAGCTGATGTTTATCTGTACAGGATACTACAGTACGTGTGTCTTGGTCTTGTGGATCATTAGCATCTAAATCAAAATCTGATACTATATTGTATCAGAAATAGATGTTAGTTATTTTATCAATATTTGAGCTATCAATATTAATATAGTTCAATGTATTTTATCAGTATTAAAGTTGTTATAAATCAGATACAAAGAAGAATCAATGAAAACATTAAATTTTGTTTTTCATAATGTATTGAAGCAATACATACATACATAAATAAATACATACATACACATATATATCTTTAAATAAAATATAAAATAATTCAAAAGGGTTAAGTTTCATTTCAAAAGACACAACTAGAATTAAAATAAATTATTAAAAACTTCTATCTAACATATCAAATATCTAATATATAAATATATATATTTACAATTCTCTTCTTCTGCTAATTGTTCTACATTAGTCAGAGATATTGGCACAAGTTGTTTATGATTTCTTGCAAACAACTGACGTATTGGAGTTGGTTTATAAGGTTCAACTCTAGCTATAGAAGTATTTAAACGTTATTAAGTATATATATTTTATAGAAAATATTAATTGTAAAAAATATGATTAAATTTATCATCATCATAATCATCTTTACATTTAAAATAGAAATTAAACAAAAAATTGTATTTTAGAGCTACCAGAATTAAGATTCAAAAGTTTTCAAGACAACCTGTTCATTTTGAAAATGTAATACATTAGCAACAAGATAAAATAAAACAATTTTAAATTTAAAATAAAAATTTTATATATGGAATTTCAAACTAAGTTATCATTAAAGTATGATAAAAGCAAACCCAAGGATCAAAATGTTACATTTATTTTCTATAAAACTTTTACATTAGAATATTTATTTTCTATCAATTTATAAATTAATTTTATTTTATAAGATTTTTAATAGCATTTTTGTTATGCTGTATTAAGTAATATATTAATAATACTTTTTCTGTATATAGTATCTGTAGCAGTTTTTAACTTGTAGTCATAAAACTAATCTTTTTTAAAGTAGATAAATATAAAAAAAAAGCAAGCAAATTTGTTAATAAAATAATCAAATAATTTGAGTAAAGAGATATACTTTCTAAAAAATCAATTATTTGTTAATTCCTTATACAGGAACAAATTGATTTCTCTACAGTAATTCATTTTTTAAGAACTATTATTTGCAGATTAATATATTATTGTTGTTTTACAGCATACGTTATGCAATAATTATAATTCAAGCCAGCTATACAATTTTTACTTATATATAGATTAAAATTTAATGTTAATTAACATTTTATAATCTAATACAGTTAAATAAAAAAATTAAATCTTTTTGCTTCAAATTTAAATATGATAACCTAATAATTTTAAAATAAAATTTTTAACTAGCATTCAATAATACCAGATATTTATCATATAAATAAAAATGGGCCATGTTTAAATTGTAAGTTTAGAAAAATAAAAAATGTATACAGTATTTTGTATGTATACTTTATATTGTTACTATACTTTATAGTTCTTGGTATTCAAATTGGCTTTTTTGCTGTTATATGAGCTCATAAGAATTGCATCCAAAAAGTATCTAACTAGAAGAAGTTCTCAGACAAAAGTCTTTTTAGAATCTAACTGTTCTCAATTCTTGCAATCAAATACTCTCATCTTTAGTTGGAATCACTTTGGAGTAATTTGAATTAAACCTAGTGATAAAATTCTTTTTGTATATGTAAGAGTGATAGTGAATTCACTATAAAAATGGATGTAACTGTGTAAAATTTATCTGGTATAAGTTAAAAAAAAAAGACTAAAACTTGATCAAAATGGAAACCTGTCCAAACATTTTAAAAATTTGGTACAGTGCAATTCCAGTTTACATGGGTTTTATTGCTCAAAAATTAATTTTTTACTAACAATTATATGAAAAACAAAATTTATATTTTTAGAAGTGCATTCATGAGAATAATTTACATGTACACAATTTAAATATTTTGAATTAAAATAAATAACAATTTTTATTTTATATATTTCACAAATAAACATACCATTTGTTTTCTTCTCTCTACTAATTACTGATTTGTGTGCATCTTCTACTGCTTTTAATAAAAGCAATTTATTTGCTTGAAGGGCTGGTGGGACACTAGGTCTTAAAAAAATAAATAATAATTAATAAAAATAAATATAATTAGGAAAATTATAATTGTAAATTAAAACAGGAATTTCCAAAACAATTTTCTTAAAGTACTGTTTATCAAGAACAGTTATCGAGAGATATTCCAATAGTAGTGAAACTGATAATTTCATGAGTGAATTACTACAAATTGTAAACTGTTGCTTGATGATTTCTATTATTGGTCTGTTAGTTTGTGTAATAAATTTCTGTAAACTAATTCCCTCCAGTCAAATATTAGTTTGAAGAGGATTATGTCACAGAAATTAGTGACACACATTAGTCTTAGATTCATAACTAAAAACATTTTCCAATCTAAAGCTTAATTTTATATTATTTTATTTTATTTCTTTATAAATATAATTTGGATATTCATTCTACTTTTTTACATATCAAGGTTTTTAATGTAATAATAATAATAAAGTATAAATTATCACTCAAATTTTAAAAAACTTTGTATAAATGGAAAAAATATTTATTTTTAAATAAGAAATAATTTTAAAAAATTTATTCCCTATTTTTTAATATATAACAGGTAGAGAAAAGTATTAATAGTAGTAATTTAAAAAAAAAATTGTTCAAAATCTCATTTATCCAATAAAATTCAATTATAAATAAAGTAGTAGTGAAATTAAAGAAATCTGTGTTCACAGAAATTTATAATTGCATGTGGATTATAAATATTTCTAATTAAATTTCACTTTAACTTTTCAAGATCTCTTGGGTTGCATCTTCATACTAGTTTTTAGAATATCTAGTTAATAATAATAATATTCCTCAAATATCAGATTTGGAACAAAATATAATAATCTTACAAAATTAATAAAAATATCATGTTAGACATAATATAAAATTGTGAACAAAATGTTTGAACTGAAATGTTAACATACAAATATAACTTTAATTAACAGTTATTCTGCTTTCTTAGGAATAATGTTAAGTAACTGTGAGACCTGGAAGGCCCCTGGGTCTAAAATAATTTTATTAATAATATTAAATATTGTCATCAAATATTAATTCATTTTTGGTGAGAAAATAATGTTTTAAACGTGGGAAAAGGCAGATAACAGATGCTACTTCCTTTCACAGAAGTTAGAACATCCTCTGACTTTCCCTTATCTGGTTAAAATCCCGCTCAGATGGGAAATGTTTACCCCTCATTCATTCCCCTTTCATCCGTTCTCATGAAAGAGTTACTGGCCGATGATTGGTCGAAAATCAGCAGATATAGAGGGAATTTGTCAGAATTCGGGGAGTTCATCGACAGACATAGAGAGTGTCCGAACTCCATACATTTTCCTCCTGATGACCAACGTCCTTAGACGAGTCACATACAGAATAATTCCAGAGTTAGCACTTAGAAAATATACTTGGATTTTGTGCACATATTGATCTTCCATGGAAGGAAGTAAATGAACTTATCTCCAAAGTATCCCTTGCATACAGAGAAGAAGACGAATGACAACTAAACAGGTTGTATGTTTTATAACGATTTTGTGAGCTCTCTCTCGATCGCGCATCAGTATAGTATGAGTCCATGCATAATATCATGTATCTTAATTGTCGTATTTATCTCCCTCGTTCCTTAATATTTGTATTAGTTTTACTTTTTGAATCATTAAATTTACTTTTGTTTGTTTTAATTAAAATGTCTCCTAATTGTGTGACCAAATCAGATCGCATACGCGTGTTAATCCGCGTATAATAAGATTGATTAACTGGTGTCAGCCCTGACGAGCATCTGGACTTCACTGTTCAGATCTACTAGCGGTTATCGCTCTCCTATGAGAAATTTTAAGATCGGATCTCTCGATCCAAAACTCAGAGACAGATTTCGGATAATCTGTGCCGATTAAGTGTTACAAGAGTACTACTTACTACGTAACCCCGGCTACTCTCACATAACTGACTTTTAAAATTGAAAAATTATAAATTTTAAGAATTTAAGTTATCAAATATGTCAGAATATCATCTAACTATAGATATACAGTATTATAACCACAATTAAAATTAATAAACTATATTATAATTTAGTTTTAAGAAGAATATTTTTCTTTGTCAACAAAAATTTTCATCAGAATAACAATATTCATTAATGCAGAGAAATGCCAGGAATAATGAGTTAATTTATTTAGGTATCAAAGTTTAACGAAATCATGAATTATATTGTTTACAATATAAAAATGCTTTATTTGAATTCATTCTGAGAATTCCTGTTTCAATGTAAAAAGTTAAAAAACTCAAACAGACAAATTTTGAAAATTATAATAAATCATCATAAAGCAAATGTTAATAACAAACTTTTTTTTTAACAAACCTCCTTTCAGAAATGCAAACAACACTAGCAACAGAAGGATTATGTGGATCATATTCTTCTTCTTCTATAAATCTTTCTTCCCTTTTCACAATAGCACCAACAGCAGAAAAAGGTCTTTGAATCTGAAAATATATGACAATTATAAAAAAAAAAAGCATTCGAAAATTTAATTTTCAAAATTATCTTCAGAACCATTATTTTTCAATAAAATTAAAACTAAGTTCTTTAACTAAGTTAAAATTAAATTAAAACTAAGTCATAAAATTGGATTATTTTAATACTAAAACAAAATTTTATTTTTTGTGTACAGAAAGGCCTTTATTTTACACTCATTTTCAGTTTGACAGACCAACAATAAAGTTGACATCAAGCAAATGTAAATGGAACATAGGCAAGTTAGACTATCCATGGAAAACCAAAGTGTAGACAGCCGAGGCAGCAAAATCTGCAGTCTGTCATTTTGATTTTTCATAAATTGCCTAACTTGATTATGTTCCATTTATGTATGCAGCAAGAAAAAATTTTGTAAATTCTTACAACTAATCTATATATTATATATAAATTAGTTGTAAGATATATATTATGTATATATTCGTCACAAAATTATTCAACTATAATGTTAACTGTTTCTGAATTAAAAATTTTAATTTTTTTAAAAATAAATAAATAAAAGCATTTTTTAATATTAATTTCGGTACTATATAAATTAATTTTATTTAATTAGTACCTTTGGTTTAATACTTGTTAAATCTAATCGTTTCTTTATCCCAACTGCTTTCTGAGCTTCTTTAATTCCATCTTTGTCAGATAAAGAAGATTTTTGAATTGGAGTTACTATATTTTGACGTTTCAAAACAGGTTTTGCACTTGAAATATTTGTAACACCTTTGGTAACTTTTGTTAACGTACTATCTTCTTTTAATTCTTCAACAAGAGGATCATCTATTCAAAATATAAAAATATTTTTTTTGTATAACAAATTTACATACAAAATATTTAGAATAAAGAAACTTTTAATTTTATATAATAATTTATATCATCAAATTTATTTAGAGTTAGTGGCATAAAGATCATTACACTATGGATTATATGGCTGGCTTCAATTCTACTAATTACAGTGGTGCCTCATATTTCAAATTTAATTCATTCATTCTGGGAGGCCATTTGAACTCTAAATCATTCAAAGTTTGAACCAGTTTTTCACATTAGAAATAATGGAAAATGAATTAATTCATTCCCAGACTCTAAACAATACCATTTCAATAAACTGAAAATGGCAAATACAGTACACAGAATTTAAGGAAAAAAATACAGTAATGAATTGCTTAACTTTTCCAGCAACATTTGGTGGTACCATCTGTTATGATACTTTATTTAAAAACTGTTTTTTAACTATTATAAAATAGAAAAAGAAAGCTTAATTTTGAGGGTAGGGATGGATTTTATAAAAAATTGTAAATGCTAATAAAAAATAAAATTGTCATTAAGTCTGACCCTAATGGAGACACACATGACCTCCTTTATCTTCCCATTCCCGACCTTTAATAGCATCAATCCTTAAACAAATCTCTGCAAAATTTCAAAAATTTTCAACGAAATGCACAGCAGTTATTAAGCTTGAAAGAGGGTAAAGAAAATTCTGCCCCCCACACATCAACATCCATACATACAGAAAACCCCCAAATGTTTTTGCATTTCTTGACATTTCAAGGTGTCCTGACACAAAAATGTAAGAATCTTGGAGGTGGTCATTTTTTGACAGGTTACCATAATTTCCTCTGTTATATTTAACAGCTAGGAAAGTAATAACACAATTAAATACCCTAATAATAAATTAAAACATGAAAGCAATAAATGAACTACATAAATATTGAATAAAATCAAAATTACATTTACTGGTTGCACATGGTCAACTTCGACATCTTACACATGACTGCTGCATCCACCATACATATACCACTTTCAAGCTTTGCTAAAAGTTCCTTTTTCATCTCAATTGTTGATATTACAACATTTCGCTTATACTTTATTATATTGAGTTGAATAGAAAGTTTTTGTGTATTTTTTAACAGCTGTCATTACTTAACATAAATATGTGATTTAATTATAATTAAACAGTTATGAAACTAAACACATTATTGCTAATGTGAGATTTATAACCAAACACCAAAAATAAAGTGAAAAAAGAACTCTAATGCAAAGCCAGAGTGAGAGACAACTTGAGCTCACAACATATTGCATTTACACTTTGAGCACATTTTTTCACTGTATGCCCAGTTCGAACTTTGAAGCATTGTTTGAACTCCAAAGTAAATTTTTGTCAAATTTAGCATTTGAAGTATGCAGTACCACTGTATATTAATAGATGGGTCTGACTCATAGTGGAATTGAGCAACATGGATGAGGAATGGAGAATGATACCCTGACCTGGAACTATCCGTAAAAATCAAAATGATCCCAATAGGATTTGAACTTGAATCCCTATTAGCACAAATATCATATTATACTGAAATATATCTTAATATCAATTTTATTTAAATAAGCAAAAGTAACCTGTATCTGGTTCATCTTTTAGAGCTAAGAAGTCTTCACTTTCTTCTAATTCAGTCAGTTTCATTTTTTTTTCTTTTCTTGCTAATTTTTCTGACTTGGAAGTTTTTTGAATTGGTACTTCTTGAGTACTTACAGTAGCACTAATGATGGGATTTACAACAGGATTAACAATAGGATTTATAATGGGATTTATTTCCTTAATTGTTTCACCTGTCATATTTTGTGTGCTGCTGGTTATAACATTTTTTGCAGGTTCATCTGATATATCACTTGTCTGTGGTTTAACTAAATTGAAAGAAACAAAATATATAATTCTGAGAAGTTCATTTATTATTCACTTTTCAATTATTTAAGCTAAAAATGTTTAAATTTATAATTATTTTAAGAAGAAAAATATTATGCTAATTAACTATAAATATATTAGAATTATCTTTAAAAAATATAACTTACCAACTGTTATGAACTGCAAACGATTGAGAACATTATGTAACCTAAAATACATCACAAGAATTTTATATTTAAATATATAAAAAATAATAAAGATAAACATAACAAAATGGCTAAATCTTTTATAAAAGATTTGCTTACTAATTAAAGTT